GCTACACATTCTGTTTTAGACATGTTTTGTCTAAGCACACAGCTTAAATTCTGCATTTATGCTTCATTTATGCTCGAAGTTTTTGTTCATAACATATTTTAGGGGCGATTGATCCGTTGTAACTTCTCTGAATTTTAAAGCTTTCTAACTTTTTAAAGAAAACTAACTTTTCAAAATTCACCTTTTGCACGTTTTTGTATTTCCATTTGGTTCTCTACTGCTTCTAGAAACAGAACAAGTGCTTTAAAAAACATCTAGGCATTTTCTGGCAATGGTTTCATGTTTTTTTAGTCTCTGGAGACAAACCGTTGCAAATACCTCTATAGTATTAAGTCACTTTCATCAAAAAGTGAATCATGTTGCATTCAAATGATTGTTTCAACACCTATGATGATTTTCTGCTTACAGTTAATGAAAAACAAACCATTGCAATCAGCCAGCACTGCCCTGTTACCTAGCAACCCTGGCAGAGTTCCAGCTCTGTCACCTAGCAACCTCAGCCAAGTTCCAGCACGGTTTTACCCATAGGCCTATTTTTACCTGTTCAAAGAAGCAAAGTATGTCCTCTTTAAACTAAATTCATTTTAAACTAGATTATTACATATGTTGTAAAGTAATGTATGTTTTTTTCCTCCCTTCCTTGCTCTCTAACCCAAATAATTTATATGTGATGAATTCCATACGATTAAGAATTTTTGATTGTTTATTGTGTTATGTTTATTAGCTGTAGCAGGAGTGCCTCTAACTGTGTTTTGCTACCTAATAGAATTATGTTAGGATTAATTAGCTATTTTTGGAAAACTCAATTGGTTAAATGTGAATTCTGAACATAAAATGTCAATATTGACATATTTCATTCACTTTTGGAGCAAAAAGGTGTTAAAATACTACATCACTGGACAGGAAAACTGCCATATGTAGAGCGAGGCGACGTGACGGATGTCGGAATTGAGGGACAGGAATGTTTTCCCCAAGTTGTTTTTGTCAATATGGCTTCTACTTATTTAAGTCGAGCTAATTTGTCTGTGTTTATGTTGTTTGGTCTCTGGAAAACTTCCATATTAGGTCAATATCATGAGAAAACTGCCCCGTTACCTAGCAACCCCAGCCGAGTTCCAGCCCCGTTACCTAGCAACCCCAGCGAAGTTCTAGCAATCCTGGAAATAGCTAGCCAAGAAACCAATCCATACCATTTCCATCCTCACGTTTGTTGATTTGATCAAATTGCCGATTTTGACTGAATTCACGCCACATGATTTATATCACTTTGTCATAAATAGGGTTTCTTTTTACACTGGAGCAGACTTAAAAGCGTACAAAAGTCTAGTTATTTTGTTCAAAGCAGGCTACATAATTGTGAGGCATTTTTTCCAGTTACTAAAAGTTAAACTTGTAGCTTCTCTATTGTATAATATGACTGCATCTTAGTTATAAAATATATGAAAGCTAATCTTGTAAAAAAGTATTTCCTGCAAATCCATGAATTCACCCTATGATCATTTCTACAATGAAATCAACTGATATTAGGCTGCCAGCGATCTGTTTTTTGACCATCTTTACTGGAGCATGTAAGTTGTTTTGTTGTCAGTCATGGTGGAGTGGGCCACTTTTTGAAGAGAGTGACGTCACGTGCAAAGGGTCAATATCCTTCCAGCATCATTAAATGGAGTCGATTCACTCCACTTTTTGTTTTTACCATCATGCATCATTACTGAACATCGTCTGTCCCTCTCACTGTTGCTCATCATCCCATCCCATCACTGTCTGCCAGTGCCATCACGGAGGCCACCACCCTGTTTTCCCGCCAGTCCACTCTGGAAGACATGGACCCAATGCCGGAGAACATTCCCAAAACCAGTCAGCGCCCCAGGCCCAGCCTGCGGAAGATGTACAGCATGGACATTGCTAATTCGTCCATAGACAGCGGCAGCAGCATTGTGTCCAGGTGCTTCGCCATTTCACTCACATGAACACCATCGCTGCATCTCATGACTGTTTTCATCAAGTCCATTGCTTTTAAGGCTGTTATTTTCCTGTAAAATAAATAGATTTTGTTTGTTTCCCCCTGTTTAGTGAAACGACTCAAAGCGTCATGATCTACTCCAGACAAGGAACCACAGACACCATCGAGGAAGTGGAGGATGAACAAGACCAAGGAGAATACGCTCAGTGTCCCGCGGACGATCAGGAAGCAGAGGAGACGCAGCGTGATGAGGTGAACGTTGAAGATGATGATAAAGAGCTGTGGGAACCTGATGAAGAAGTTGGAGGAGAGGAGCAGGAAGTAGAAGCTGCTCCCTGCGACTCCTTTAGTCCAGATGAGGGTCCGTCCGCCAGGCAGGATGACGCAGAATTGGCTGCCTCATCAAGGGAGAACAATTCAATCAGCGAGAGCGAAGACGTACTCGGACAGCAGGGCTTCTCGCAGATGGAGGACCAGGCCGTCACGCTCTACACCCCCGACACGGACGCTTCCAAAACGTCCGACGCCGACGTACCGCCCAGCTACAGTAAGGCGGTGAGCTTCGACCGCCTGGAGGTCAGCGACGACGAGAGTGACTCCTACCGGAGGCGGCGGTTGGTCATGACGTCCGACAGCCGCTCGGACAGTAGGTCGGACATCATGCTGCCGTCGATGACCACCGAGCTGACGGCCAGCGAGCTGCTGCTCAACAAGTAGGTCCATTTGATCAAAAGTTATCAATATAAACAGGTCACTGCAAAAACATTCATCCCTTTGAACATCTGGCACTGCAAAAAACTAAATCTTACCAAGTATTTTTGATCTAGATTAGTGAAAAACATCTTAGAACACTTGAAATAAGACAAAACTAACAAACAAGTAACTTTTAGGCAAGAGCTGGTTTCAAGTTAAAAAATGACTTAATATTGATGGAAATGTACAAGTTGTAAGTAAAATAATCTGCCAGTAAAACAAGACATTTTTCACATATTCTAAGTTAAAGTGACTGGTTGATTTGAGTAGAAAGTCCAGTTCCTTTTGAATCTACGATTGAACTCTGATATGGACCAAAACATCAAACTCTGGTCCACCTAAAACCTTATGCCTTGGTTTGGTTGAAGTGAACTCTGATGCGCTTTGAATGCAAATGTGAACTCCAAGCGAACTGAAGACGGCATCAAAAACAGGAAGTGAACTATAGAGCAAAGCAATCTGGGTAAAAACAAGCAAATCAAAATTGCCTTGGGTCTTTTACTAAAGACAATAGAGAAATCCCATAACTGCTAAAATCTGACATTACTCCATTTTTGTTTGCATTTTGTGAAGGAAGTTGCGCTCAAGAAGCGCAACTTCCTTCCTTTTTGTGTCGTTTCCTTCAGTGGTTCTTGTTGCAGTGCCACCCAGGCGAGGAGGGGAACAGGATTTTCAGAGGATTTAATTCATTCGACAGTGAAAGTGTGAGAGTGAAACGCACCAGATGAAAATAGAACAAATGTTGCAATTTTGGTCCCCAATCGAACAAAATCTCCTAGACTATCTGGTCTGTAAACACCCTTACTGGATTCGCCTGTTTTCTGGGATGTTTTTGTCAGTTTTCAGTGTGAGGTCTGGTTTACCCCCTTCTCTTCTCCTATTCCTAATTGTTTGGATTTTGACCTGTATGCTTCGAGTGTCTCAGCCCAAGTTCCCAGGTTTTTCATGGCCGCCTCTCTGCGTTCAGGATGTTCTATGACGAGGAGCTGGAACAGTCGGACCATTTCTACCAAACCCAGCCGCTGATCCTGCAGTTCTGCTATGCCCTCTACAACATGCTGGTGGCCCACTCGGAGTTCGTTTGCTACCTGGTCATCATTATCAACCACATGGTGTCGGCCTCCTTCGTCACCCTGGTTCTCCCCGTCACCATCTTCCTCTGGGCCATGCTGTCAGTGCCGCGGCCCAGTAAACGCTACTGGATGATGGCCATCATCTACACAGAGGTAAAAATCACAGAAAAGGTGATGGATGCATCTCCATGATGTTTCATTTTGTTAGTTTTCTAGATCATCTCGAGGAGGTGAGAGGATTCCTTTAGTATTTATTTCCGGAAGCTTAAAAAAACTCATCTGTTTCCCCTCCAGGTCACCATTGTCATCAAGTACTTCTTCCAGTTTGGCTTCTTCCCCTTCAACCAGGACAAGATAAACAAGAATAAACCATTTTATCCTCCCAACATCATCGGTGTGGAGAAGAAAGATGGATACGTCCACTATGACTTGATCCAGTTGCTGGCTCTGTTCTTCCACAGGTCCATCCTGAAGGTACCAGCAAATGGAGACATTGAAAGTGTCTTAAATGGTGAAACTGAATTAGACAGAAATGTTTGACTAATACTAAGATATTTACACTAGAAAACAAAAATACTTGTAAAATTTTGTGTTTTTGGAGGTAACTGGTGATCTTTCAGCAACTGGCCTCTTTTTGAGTCTGTATACTCCAGTTAATGAATAATCGATTACTAAATTAGCTGACAATTACTTCAGTAATCAGCTCAATAATTAATTAATCACAATTAATCTGATTAATCACTCATTACTGCTCTGCACTGCAAAAATTCCAAGTATTTTTTTGTCTAGTTTCTAGTGCAAATATCTTAGAACACTTAGAATTAAATAAAACTAATAAATAATTTGTATATATAAGATATAGGAGCTTGTTTTAAGTAAATAATTGCTTAATTTTAGTAAAAATTAAGCAATTATTTTGCATGGGAAAAATGTCTTGTTATAAGTGAATAATCTGCCAGTAAAACTAGAACTTTTTCATCAGTATTAAGAGGAATTATTGACTTAACAAGCTCATTTATATTGCTGAAAAGTTACTTCATTAGTTTTGACTTATTTATATTTGCACTAGAAACTAGGCAAACAAGATGTTGTGTTTTTGCAGTGTGTATTACTCTTTCAGTAACTGGCCTCCTTTTGAGTCTAATACTCCAATTAATCAATTACAATTATTTCATTAATCAGTGCTAATTTGAAGTGTCTTCATCCGGTTGCTCTCCTCCTCCTCAGTGTCACGGTTTGTGGGACGAAGACGACACCAAGGAGAAAAAAGAGGCGGCTCATCAGAGTCGGAGCGAATCTGAGGACGAGGGGAGAGACAAAGAGGAGAGCGAGAAGGAGTCGGAGCCGGCCTCATCGCTGATCAACGAGAGGAGAGGCTCCAACCACACCTTGAGGTCCATGACCTTTGGCACCTCCGTTGATTCAGGACAGGTCCAGGTTCAATACCCGCAGCCGCAGACGTACCAGAGGCGGAAAAGCTCCAGTGGAGGCTCGCATGTTTCCTACCGATCTCGAGGTTCTTCTGCAAGATCCAAGAGAGGTGAATCGTCTTATTTCTGCCAGCTTCTTTGCCATCCACACTTATTGACATCTGAGACCAGCATAATCAATCAATCAATCAAGCTTATGTGTAAAGCATATTTCAGCACCAAGGCAGTTCAAAGTGATTTAAATCATAAAAACACAAACTTCACTAACTGAGACAATTGAGAAAACCAGTAAATATTATATTTTGCCACGTTCCATCATTACACATCAAAATGTTGGTTAATCTTTCATTTATTGTGGTTAAAAAGCAACTCTAAACAACTGGGTTTTTAGTCTTGATTTAAAGAAACTCTGTATTTTGGCTGTTCTGCAGGTTTCTGGAAGTTTGCTAAAGGTTTGTATGCTGCTTCTCCATGTTTGGTTCTGGGGATACAGAGCAGAACCAGAAGACCTGAGAGGTCTCGAAGGTTGATACAATATAAGTGGATTATTCTTTACATATCTGAGGTTTTTGGAGTGAAGATCACATTTTCAAACAAATGCAACCTGTATCTGTTTTCCAGTGTGAACTGCAAACAACCTGAAAGTGCCCTGCATGCGCAGTAGAGGGCGCAATAACGTCACACTTAGAAAGTTCAGTGTTTTGCCAACTGCCATGGAGAAGAAGAAGTGCTCAGTGTTTGCGGAAGTAAACATGGATGCTAACGGTGTAGCTTAGCTTACGATTTTGAAATTGTTGTCTGACCGCAGCCGGCATACTAACAACTTAATCCTCATTATAGTCCGCCATGATTGTTGTTTTTCTTACCGCTTGCGCGTTCCAGGACGCAGAGTAGTGACGTTTATCGAGTATCGATGACGTTCAGGTCGGATGATTCGATGTTCAGACTGTCGTGGTCAGATACTCGTCGCATAAGACAAAAAAAAAAAATCGGATCAGGCTGCAGCGATAACGTAATCTGACCAAGTTGTGTGAAAAGTCAGGATTAATAAAACCAAATTATTGACTTTTTAGCGTTAGCATAAGCTTTAACATGCGTGTTTAACCGTTTCCAGACATGATTTTGAAGATGAAGTCTGTGTCTCATCGTCATGGATCATTAACGGCTCGAAATGTAAATTGCTCCCACAGGAAGTACGGTTTCCCGCCACAGCAGCCACAAGGACGGCAGCCAGGCCAGCGTCCAGCAGAAGACCCGCAAGCAGATGATCGTCGAGAAGCTGAGGGAGCAGCTGCTCAAAGCCAAGGCTTTCGCCATAAAGCGGTATGACGCCGCGCCGTTTCGCAGAAACTGACTCACCGCCTGCTGGTTTCCCGTGGCTCTGTCACATTAGCAGGGGTCGGAATATTCCTGTTGAGTGATGCGAGAGACGCATCCCGTCCCGCTAAAACCTTTTACGGCTCTAAGTTTAGACCTTTAATTACGGCTTTCCAGTCAGGCCGCAGCGCCGATCAAAGCTTGTAGTTCTGCTAAATGTAATCATGACGGAGTGAGTGGTTGCCATGCCAACAACAGGAAGTTAGCCCCAATTTCTCATCAGGGTTTGTACAGGTGTTTGAATGCCATTTAAGTTTTCTCAAGCTTGGTAAAGTTCCTGATTTCTGTATAAAACTGCACAACTCTAACATTTGATTAAAAGCTTAAAATTGGAAAACATAATTTACAATGAACAATAGGTTTAGTATTGGTCAATACCAATCAAATGCAGAAAAACAGCACTGAATTGATCTAAACAGTTTATTTAAAAAACAGACACATATGTACTGAAGAGCACATTTATTTTACACCACTAAGGCACATTTAAACACACCAATAAAAACAAAACAACTTTAATTTGTTCAGTCAAATTAGGAGTATAATGTAAAAGAAACTGACAAAAATAACTGTAAAGAATAAACCACAACAAACCTTCTTTCAAATGGTTCAGAAAGTGCAATTAGAAATTCTAAATATAATGTGAAATAAATAATAAAGCATAGAGTTGGACTGAATAGATCAGCTCTTATTGATGGGGAATATTGTTATTATTCCCGATATAGATATATAATTTTTCAGTATCGATCAGATAATTTTCATAACCTGATGAAAAGATAGTCTTTTTTTCCTATCTGAAGTTAAATCAGACTATTTTTTTCTTGTTTTAGATAAAATTATTTCTACTTGCTAAATGCCAGAAAACTTAGCAAGACTATTTTTTTAGATATTTATTTTTGTAACTTTCTTTATTGTGTTTAAGCATTTAATTTAAGCAGAGAGGTCATTTACCTTAACTAGAATTGTTTGGATTGTTTCAGTCTATTGAATATTTATCATAATTAATGCCTCAATGAATTATTCATCGTCTTATTTTTTATATTTACATTAAACATTGTTGTTAAAATTGGGGAATTTTGTTTTGTTCTCAAATTTTGCTATATTTTAGTTTATCTACAATACTACAACAAAACTAATATTAATAATGAGAGAAGCTGAATTAAAAATGTCTTTTTGAGTTAATCTGTGTTGTTTTTATCTCCAGAATTTAAAAACTCACCTTGAAAGTGCTTGAATTTTATTCTGGGGAAAACGTACAAAAGTAGAACAGACCCCAGTTCTCGACTCAGTGATTGATTTTAAATCTGATGGATAACATCTGTTTGGCCCCTGCAGGTTTCTGGAGCTCTACCTTCCCATGAAGCAGTTCTTCTACAACCTGATCCACCCGGAGTACAGCGCCGTCACCGACGTCTACGTCCTGATGTTCCTCGCCGACACCGTCGACTTCATCATCATCGTCTTCGGTTTCTGGGCCTTTGGGGTGAGTTTTAGATTTTAGATTCTCTTTAAATTACAAACACAAAAACTGCTTTTATGTTTGCATTTTTTTAGAATGTCTTCAACATGCATTAGCACAAATTTATAACCAGTTCTAATAACTGAACTGCCATTTATTTTCTTTAGAAATATATATTTTTAATTCATTCATAAATAAATTCCTTGAAGACAAAACTTTTTTTTTTTAAGAATTGACCTTAATTAACTTCCTAACAATAAATATCAAATACTGTGCAGCTCTACTGGCTGTTTACTCTCTATTTTAAACTATTTTATGCTATCATGGAAAAAAGTTTTGTTGTTGTTTTTGTTTTGTGTTTTTTAAGAATTGGCAGCAAGCATAGATGGATAGACATTTTTTATTTAAATCTTGTGTGGGGGTTGTTTTTGTTTTTGTTCTTTTTTGTTGTTTTTTGGGGGGGGGATGCCGAAAAAGAAAACAAAATAAATAATTTTTTTATTCCATTTGCAAAAATATGGATATTTTGAGTGATCATAAACAAAGTATTAGTTTAAAAAAAATTCAGCAATGAATCGGTTAGTTTTTCCACAATATTGTTAAAAAGTTGCCAAAACATTATTGATTTATTTTTTCACTATTTATTTAAACTAAGAATAAAAAAAATTCAATTAAACATGAAATGCTGAAAGGGTTTAAGCACAATATAAATAAAATTGCAATAAGGTTAGAAAATGTGATTTAAATGAGCACAAATAAGCAAAAGTATGAAAAGATTGCTATGTTTAGTTTAAAAAGGTGTACAAATTATGTAAAAATTCAAAACTTGATACAATTTTATGCAATTTCCATCAATACAGTGGAAGCCAAACAGCACTAAAAAGTGTCAGATTTATGGAGAAACATTAAATTGACCTTCAGCGTCCTCTTCCTCTTCTTTAGAAACACTCGACGGCGGACATTACGTCGTCTCTGTCGGAGGACCAGGTGCCTGGTCCCTTCCTGGTCATGGTTCTGATCCAGTTCGGCACCATGGTGGTGGACCGGGCCCTCTACCTCAGAAAGACCGTCCTGGGGAAGGTCATCTTCCAGGTCATCCTCGTCTTCGGGATCCACTTCTGGATGTTCTTCATCCTGCCGGGCGTCACGGAAAAGTGAGAGCGTGAACTGACTTCTGATGAAATTCAGCAAAAGTATTTACACCCTTGAACATTTTTCCCAGTTTGGATGTTAACTTTCCTCAAAGGTTCTCTATTTAAAGGTGATTTATTGTGCTTCCTGGAGCAGGTTAGGATATGGCCTATACAAAACATGCACATTACATTTGAGCACAAAATTTGAGCCACTCCCCCCAGCTCAGTGGTCGCAAGCAAATTATACAGCCGTACATCTTTGAAAAGCAGAAGTGGAGCCTCCTGTACACCCAACAAGAATGCATCAAGTAGTTTCTAGATGGTAAATCAACAACAAAACACTTGTCTTTTCCAGTAGCCATTGTACATATCATAGAATTCCGCCTGGGTTGCTAGGTAACGGGCTGGGCTGGGCTGGATTGGGGCTGCTAGGTAACGCTCAGTTCCTGAATGTGACTTAATAAGCAGTAGGTTTTTGAAATGGCAAATTTTCCAGACACCAAAAACCATTAACTCAGTGTTTTTAGAAGAGTTGAGATGGACATGGAAAATGTAAGTTTTGTAGAAGAGGTCCTTAAAGATCCTGGAATATATGTTAGGACTACTGTGGTTATTTTCCTGATAATAGGTCATATCAGCCTTCGTGCCCCTGTGTTCCTCCTCTTCCTCTCTCAGGCGTTTCAGTGAGAACACGGTCGCCCAGATGTGGTATTTTGTCAAGTGCATCTACTTCGGGCTGTCAGCCTATCAGATCCGCTGCGGCTATCCAACCCGGGTCCTGGGAAACTTCCTCACCAAGAGCTACAATTACGTCAACCTCTTCCTGTTCCAGGGGTGAGTTCACACTCTTTAAATCTGAAGATATTGTCTTTGGACCTAAAGGTCCAGAGCTCCAAACTCATTTTCATTTTGGGCCATATCAAAAATCTGAATGTTTTTAAAAGGCCAGGATGCACTGATAAAACCCATTAAACTGTTACAATATCAGTTTGTTTCAGCATTCAGTAAGTGTTTTTTAAAAGAAAGTAATATTGAACATCTTTTGACTCTGGTCAGATCTGAACCGTCAGAGCCACATAAAGACAGTTACAAAGTTGGTCTTCTGTCACCTGAAGAATATTTCCAGGATTAAAGGACGAATGTCCTAGAGAAACTCATCCAGATGTTCATCTTTTGTCACATGAAACAATTTCAAAGCACTTTGATTTGCCTTGTTGCTGAAATGTACAAATGAATTTGACTTGATCTTGAACTGGAGCTCCACACGAATAGTTCAGATTGTAACTTTCCTTCTTTGGTTTGAAGCTTTAAGTCACATTTTTTCTTTTTTCTTAATTGAACAAGCTTCCCCCATAGCTGGAGGAAATGCTTTGTGGGCAGCAAAGTTGGGTTCATGTGTCTGGTTTGCTTGTTCAGTTTCCGCCTGGTGCCTTTCCTGACGGAGCTGCGAGCGGTGATGGACTGGGTCTGGACCGACACTTCCTTGTCCCTGTCCAGCTGGATCTGCGTGGAGGACATATACGCTCACATTTTCATCCTCAAATGTTGGAGAGAATCTGAGAAGGTGTGGCTATCTCTGTTGCTTGAGCATAATTCTAACAAGGTTTTTCCTTCCACTTAATTTTCTACCATTGTTTTTGTCATGCAGGAATTTGAGCTGAAATATTATTTTTATTTTTTTTATTATTTTTTTTGTTGAAAAAATTACTTTGTACTTGTCCCTCCAAAATATTAATTTGTCCCTTAATACATTTCCTGCGGTAGTTTTACCAAAGCAAACATAAAGCAGAAAATCAGAAAAACGATTTTCTTCATGTTGTCCCTCTGCAGAGTTCGGGTAGAGTTCCCAAAAATTATACTCAAGTAAAAAACATATGAAACTTTAACAAAAAACTGCAGGTGTGTGTCTGTGTCTGGTGAGTTTTTGGTTAAAACATGTTTGGGTAGAAAATCCAGAAATTTCACTCAAGAGTAGAAATACAACTAAATGTGATAACCAGTTGCCGCTCTCTGCAGAGATACCCTCAGCCGCGAGGCCAGAAGAAGAAGAAGGTGGTGAAGTACGGGATGGGAGGGATGATCGTGGTGCTGCTCATCTGCATCGTCTGGTTCCCGCTGCTCTTCATGTCGCTGGTCAAGTCTGTGGCCGGCGTCGTCAACGCGCCGCTGGACGTCTCCGTCACAATCACCCTGGCTGGATTCCAGGTACTGAGAGTTTTATCAAATCATAAAAATACCCACAGTCCAGAGCAAACTGGCATGTTTTTCATCATTAAAGATGTCTATAAATCCTTAAAATAAATTATTTTGTTATGCAGAAGGATAATCTCACACTCTATTGAACTCAGACCTTCAATTTGACTGAATTTAAAACATCCGGTTTAGGAAATATTAGTTTTTAATATGTAATTAATATAAAATAAGTGTAGCTTTTTTTTAACTCATAGTTGTTTTGATTGAAGTGTTTTTAGGACAATTATTCCCCTTAGGTGTGAATGCTGTGCAGTTTGCTACAAAAACACAAAATGTAGTGAAATATTTTTCTCTAGTTTCTGGTACACTTGAAATAAGACAAAACTAATTT